AAAAAAAATGAGGTATTCAAGCCTGTAAAAACAGTAATAGAGATCTCAATCGAAGATTCTTAGGATAAGTTAAAGGTCTTTAAAAGTAAGATACAGAACAGCACAAGGATGCAATGGGAATGAGGGAGGAATTAATAGAGCTTAAAGGAGCGATGGCCAGGGTGATTAAAAATATTGGGGAAGTGAATTAAAATTGCAGTGGGTTAATGATCGGATTAAGAGGAGATCGTCCCACTCAAGGGTCGGAAAAGTATCGAAAGCTTGCAGGCGAAACAAGATTCCTTCAAATAATAATGAGAGAACATATGACAGTAGGTAAAATTTCGGCTTGTTTACAAATATAGATGCAAGTAAGATCTGAAGGGCCTAGAAGTTTCTCAAAATTGCATAGTAGTGTTATTAGTAAAACGTATGTTACTCGACACAGAAAGCTCGTGATTCAGAATCAGTTCTGGACCAAATATCAGTCATGATAATGTTTTGAACTTGATTACCTCGAAGTTCTAAGGTCATTGCTTTTAGGTGTTTTTTAAATTATTTGCTGTAGTGTAGTTGGTACTCAGAAGTGTTCATTAAAAGTTCTACTTTAACTGTTTAATTTTTGTACTTATAAATTTCAATTTGAATTTTTTTATACGTAGATCTGTTATTTAATGGCGTCAGATCGTAGGTCTAAACTCGCGTGGAGAGATGAAAAAGACTTGGATTTTTTGAAGATGAATTTATTCTGCGTGGTGTGTGAAGTAAGTGGAGAGTAAGCAGCGCTAACAATAGGCGCAGCTGACAGGAGGAACAATGAAATGGTAGAGCTGGCACGCCTCGTAATGCAAGTTAGTGCTAGTGAATCTTTCAAATTCTTCAACAGAGTTAAAATCGGATTATATAAACCGGCAAAAGTTGAGTCAAGACTTTGAGATATGCCGTTGTTCCGCAAAGTTCCCATCAGCTCGTTCCTCAGTCGAGGCAAAACTTGAGCTCCAGTAGAGACCAGGGATTGCGTTATCGACTATAGAGCTAAACCATTCATTGTACAAACCATTATACAGGGTACTAAGGTTTAACCGTTTACGGCGGTTATAATAGCAAGAAGGCCTGCAGAGGTGTTTTTTCTAGGTTACTGCCAATATCATATATTCTCCAACTTTCACTCTGTCGCTACCCTTTATATATGTACTCTGAAGAGAATTCGGTGAACAGTTGTGCTGAAGATACATTTAATGACATTACTGATTGTCGTCTTAGCATTACGCTGTTAAGCAACATTTCAGAAGAAGAAGAAGTAATAGCTGAATTGCAGAAAACAATCAGTGTTAAGTACTGCAAAGTATTTTTGACTACTAATGGTTTTGTTGAAAGAAACATTTTAAAAAAGGCGGTTACGGGATAGCATACAAAGGTGTGTGGAAAAACTGAAGTGGCCGTGAAGAGAACCAAGTCTCAAAAAACTGTGAGGGTGAATCACTTAGGGAACGTTTGCTCAAAAGTCTTCACGAACTTCGAACATTAAATAAATATCGGCATGATAACATCGTATCACTGTATGAGATATCTTTGGGTGGAGAGGATCCGCGTTTGATTTATCAGTATACGGCCAACGGCTCAGTTGAAGATCGTCTGCAACGTAAAGAGGCACAGAGGTTTCGACTTGACAGCAGCGACAAATTATAGCTTAAGGTTCTGCTAGAGGCTTACTTTTCTTACACACTAGTAGTAATATTCCTATTATTCATGGAGATATCAAGACAGCCAGTATTCTTCTTGATGGGCACTTTAAACCACAACTCAGCAATTTCGACTTATGGCAGAATGGATCATTCAAAGAGGGCGTGGAAGAAGAGGATTTGGTAATAGCTTCGTATTTTGAAGGGAGTTTTGCGTACCTTCCGCCAGAGTTCAAAAACAGCAAGATCTTGGCTGCTATATATTGTTTTGGCATAGTTTTGCTGAAAATCGCTAGTGGCTCCAGAGTTTATGCAGAGGGCAGGGAAAAACCAAATTTACCGCAACATGTCTTGCATTTAAAGGCAGAGATGAAGATGTTTAAACAAAATTTATAAGTCTTATCATTGAACTGTCAAGAACTGTCCACATGATAATAAATTTCGTTTCGGTTCTTTCAGGGGCTTATTTGTCCTGCTCTTTGTTGCACAAACATGGAACGTATAAAGAGGGCGAACTGCGATGAAGCTGTTTTTTGTTTGGAAAATATTTGCAATCAAAGGGCTTTCTTTACAGGTAGAAAAACATATTCGGAACTGTTAAAATTGTCAGTGTTTGACTTGCGTACGAAAGTATTATTTACTGTGCATCCGTCCTACATGCTTCTAGCCAAGTGGAAGTAGTTAACTAGTAATTTGGTAAGTTCCTTTGAACTTTCCTATTCCATTTTAGATCCGTTTAAGCAGGTACATTTGTGTGCTGGAGGCTTATATTTTTTATCCTAATAGTGATCAAGTTTTATGTTCCCTGTGGTGAATTATCTTGTCATTTGTATTCAGCTTTACAAGATTATATTGTAGAGCTTAGTAAGCACCAATGTTGTACACTTTTGATTTTTTGTTCAAGTTTTTGTTCCGATTCACTGTTACAGGTTTAGGTCATTTCTTGCGTTTCAAAAATGAAAATCTGGCATCATTTATTTCAGGGGTTTACCGCTGCTCAGGTATTTAGTGTCCAGCTCTAATTGTTCTTCCTCTTAAGGAAGCCTAAATAAAAACAAAAAAAAACGTTTATTTTACTTTTTCTGAAAGAACCTCAAGTGAGGCAAAAAAAAATTCATATAAAAAATCTCAAAGTTGGATAGGGATTACTTCAGATAACAAAGAATGACAGGACCTAACATATGACCAAGTTCTATTTTCCACCCATTAATACGTTTCACGTTTATATGACTATCTTGTTTAATTTTGGATTTTTTATTTTTCCAATATGTTGTGTTAGATCAATTTCTTATTCTTCACTGTTTGTCTGATTTAATGGATCCCACTGCCGTTCAAATAAAGGTCGTAATAATTCGCGCCCTTCCCAAGCGTTTTTGGCCTCTCCTCTTTTATCCGGAGGTGTCGCGACCACGCCAAAGGACTATATTTCTTGAAGCATGAACTCTGACCTCCCTCGAAAGAGAAGCTCTTAAAGGGTAGACATTAGGTTATGTCATCTCTGGCCAATGTAAAGAAGTGGCGTCAGTGAGGAACTCAGTCTTTTAAAATCTCGTTTAGATCTCTTGAAGTGTTTCTTCGCCTCTCTAGAGTGTCAAATATCTTGACAGTTTTCAATTCCCCAATGTAGTTTTGTTTCGTCCGTTTTTTTTATGAATCGTGCCCATAGGCAATTTGAAGGTTTCTGACTTCAAGTGTTGCGTATTTATTTGCGAGTTTATTTTGTTGTTTCCAGTAAGTGTTCATATTGATTTGCTGAAATTATTGGGGAATTGCAAAAAGTCTGTGCCCAACCTTTTTATAACTATAAAAAGTTTAAAAGTTCCAATAATCGTCATAATTGATAAAAATATGAGGCAATAAATAGTTTAAAAAGCCAAGTCGCCGTAACCCAAAATAAAGTACTATTGAAATTCTCCTTAGTTACTAGACTCATCGTCCTCAAAGATAAGACGGTACTTTAATGCTTACAAAACAGAGTCTTAAGTAGTTCTCTTATTTAGTTGATGCTGTGAAATAGCAAGCATTTAATTGGTTCTTACAGTAGAGTTGTAAAGTTACGTGTAGAAGACACAGTAACGCTTCTCCGCATCTAAGACTTTTCGGCTAGCCGTGATACACACCCACTACAAAATGCTGACATATCAGCTTCTTGAACAGAGGATATGTTTACACAAAATTCTTTATTAAAGTCGTTAAATCAAAAATACCACTCTGAATTCGTTTCACAAATTTCCTCCCCCTCCCGAATTCCCAAAAAATTCTTGAGCGCAGTCTCACAGTCAGTCAGCAGCAGCACTTTGTGTGTCAAGGTTTGAAACAACCGTTGCCTGCTACCGCCAATTAATTAACGCCCAAACCTGTCGTAGAAACCTTCCTTTCCAACACTAAGCCAAACATAAAACCACAGTAAAAATTAAACCTACAAAACACACTCTCTCAAAATGCTGCTCTCCCGATTGAGCCACTGAGACGCCCTTCCCAGCGCAATTTCCGCTGACCTTTACCCGCTCTCCATAATAAACGCACAAAAACTTCTACAGAGAAGTTTTACAAATAGACTGTTCAGGAGAGGCTGTCGAGCAGTTCTTCACGAAAACTTGAAAAAAATTAGAAAGAAATTTGCAACCATCAATTTGCCAGCTATTATCAAAATCAGAAGATACTGTGCATAAATGAGTGTAACTAAAGGCAGATTCATGGCAAATGCACTCACTCTAATTTTAGAAACAGCTACAGCAAGGACTGAAATCTTCCATAAGGGTCACAACTTGTTCAAAAAAAAGAGTTATAAAATCAATTTATACAGAAATATTCAATCAGCAGTCTTTAAACTTTGCTTACTAATGCACAACCCTATCGCAGAGCTAAATAAGGTATAAAATAGAGTAAGCAAGCATCCGGAGTCTCTTTATCTTAACAGTCAACTATCAAAAGATACACATTCTAAGGTTTCTTTTTTAAATTAGGATAGAAAGAAACTGTCTAAATTTCATCCAAGACTTACACACAAAAAAGAAATACACACTTGTCACTTCATCCATACCATGTGGATTACAAACCTATTAAGTAGTATACAACAAAAATTAAAAGCTAAAAAAATCGCTGAGCACCCTTGCCAACATTGTACCAAGATTTTGAACAAATCAAAAGAAACATCAGATAAAAAAAAATAACACATTTATAATGTAGAAGTTAAGGCATATATAATTGTTTCCAGTCAACTGAGTAATACTGTCGCACTTGATAATTAAGAGGACGTGAAAATGATAAATAAGGCATAAAATGCAAGTCAGTGTTCCTCAACGACAAGAAAATAGAGGAACAAAACTGCCCTTCATACAGGTTTTGTAACAAAAATTTTCTTTCATCCATTTAAGTACGGCAAGACTAGACTAAGCAAGATTCTAGAAATGAGGAAGTAAATGCCAGGAAATTCTTTCATATAAAACTTAATTGCAAAAGCAGTTACCGAAATGAGACGAGTAAAAAGCACAAATAAAGCTTTAGAAAATAATAAAAAGTTGAACAATGAGATTTAAAGCTTCTCATAAAAGCAACTTTAACAACCAGACTTATTTTGATGTCTGCTGATTTTCTTCTCCTTATTTTTAGATTTTGGCGGTATAGGAGTCGAGCCTGCTACATGTTTCCCATATATGTATTTGTATGCATCTGACCTCAAATACTCCATCAAAGCCAATGGACCTAGAAGGATTATTTTTTTTTTTTGGATTTTCAAGCCAAAAAAGAAAGCAACTTTAAAAAATTTTAGAAATCCTACACTACCTTTTTTCAACGCTTCCTGGATTTGTTCCACCCATGGATTTTGTTCCAAACGGAGGACCTGCTTGGGTCCAACTAAATCAAGAGAAGCAATTTCTGGCGGTAAAACTGTTAAGCGATTGCCCTTAAATATTCATCTCTGAATAGAGAGCTGGTAAAAATGAATAATCTACATCGTTAAAATCATTATTCTTAGGAGAAAATAATGAAAAAAAGTGTTCATTATTGTTATTATTGTCATTTATTGAAAAAGGGTCTAAGTCCTCAAATTCCGCTCATTAATTGAGCAGTTCTTGAAACTCTTCAAGAAATAATTTCCAAAGGACTTCAAAACCTACAACTAGACCAATTATATTGAAAAAAAACCTGAATATGAAGCTCTCTAAGGCGGAAAAGTTTGCCAATTTCTTTAGGTAAAGCGGTAAGATCATTTTCTCGTAAAACAAGAATTTGAAGACTAGAAAGATTCTCGACATCTTCTGGAAGGTATTCGAAATCATTATCTCCCAAATAAAGAGCTCGTAAGGTAGCTGAAGTTAAAATATGATTCGAACTGGTATGTTTCACTGCTACAAGAAAGCTTCCAAAAAACTAGTTGAATCTAAAGCTTTATCTCTTTTTCAATATTTGAAAAATCCACTGTAAAAGTTTTAAAGGCGGCTTAAAGAGATAAAAACATTGTAATGAGAAAAAAACAGAAATTCATCAAAAGTGAAAAAAATAAAAGATTCCAATTCCATAGCTTTAAAAAAACGCATATTACCAAAAGCGCAAACTTTAAACCGAAAAACTAACACATGAAAAAGAAATTGCCAGGAAGACTTCGTTCAGAAAGGTTATTGTAGGTCAAGTCCAGTAGCTCCAAGGATTGGAAAGAACCAAAACCACGCGGCAAAATACTTAACCGATTCATTCTGTACGTAAAAATTATATTATTATGAGGAAACCTGATAAGAAAAAGCATTAATAGCGAATTAGAGCGGGAGACGGAAGCTTCAGAAAATTCTTTAACAGTCAACTAACCCAACATTTAGAATACGAAGTTTGCTAAGAGACGATATTGATGTTGGAAGTTCCTCAATCTGGTTATTCCATAAAGTCAAGATCTAAAAATAGCGGTCTGAAATTAAGACATAAAACTACTAAATATAACACAATGAAATAACGACTGTACTGAAATTTCCCATAAACAGATCCCTCAGAAAAATTTCTCCTTTGGTAATTATCATTAACTGCACTCAGTAAGTTTCAAGAAAAAACCGCAGTAAAAATTAACTTAGCAATTCCTTAAAGATACGAAAAACGTGTAACAAACCTGTAAATTAACCAAATCAGCGATATTAGCAGGAACAGAAGGAATTTTGTTATGGCTGAGGGTCAATCTCGTTAACGCCGTATTGTGAACTAAAACAAGTGGGAGACAGTAACGAATAACTGTACTTTTTTCTGGCTTAAGATTTTTTTACATTAAAACGACAAAGAAACACATAGCCTCTAACGGTACTCTAAAGCAAATAAAAAATGCTAATGCATGTTAGACAACCATAAAAATGTTGTCAAGTAATTGTTATAATCCTCAACACTTGAGAGTGAAACTCAAAGTAATAACCATTCCAAAAATTTAAAAAACAAGATAGAAAGAAAGAATTTACATATGTGGGAGATGTCCTGGAAAGAATGAAGTCCTTTGTCAACATACTCGACTTCTGTGACATTTTCATCACGATTTTTATCACTTTTACCAACGATCGGCATTTGGTTTGACCCTATTATGACTCAGTCATTTGTAAACTCATATATTTTACAAGCGCCACACATAACAAAGATAAAACTTCCATTTCACTTCTATAACCTTTTAACGACATGTGGTTGTCAACTTACAGTCACCATAATAATCAAATCTTATGAGTAATATATCATTCCACCCTAACGATCTAGTGCCTTACAAGATGCAAAAAAAAAAAAAAAAAAAAGAACAGAAATAAGTGCTGAGCAGGTAATACTTCAAGAATATCAGTCACAATAATTACTGCGAAATATTTTGGAAGCTAGAAAACTTACGCTCCAGCGATGGCAAAGAGTGGCCTGAAATCCGCTGAAAGCTAACAATAGTAATACAAAAACGCGGAAAGATACTGCGCTCAATCAGTTCCAAAACAAACTGGGAAGCTCACTTTTACTAAACGACTATAGCAAAAAAATTCGCCTACGCAGTTATCTACCATTGAAGTTGTTGAAAAAAATTTCGGCTATATTGTAAAATCTCGCCAGATTACAACGCACCGTTAAGAACAGATGTGCGTATTGCTGCTAAACAGCAAACTGCTGCCCAGCCAACGGCTAAAAATAATAACAGCCACTGCTGAACTTTGGTTAGCTTCTGAGAGCAACATTCTTGTGAATATTGTATTCGGCAAATGTTTGCTTAAAAACTCTATCGGCCATTGTAAACCGACAACTGTTGCATGTAGTTTATTGGCACCGTTTCAAAGCTGCTGGCATTATGCCATTTAAAGTATATAATTTTGGCAAACCTTCAAGAGATACGTCTCCAATCAGTTATGGAAATTCAATCACAAAAAGCAGTGCGAAAGTGATGACACGAAACAAAGATTTGCCATGAATTTACCTTCTTGTTTTTGTAGACTTTGCCGCCGTTTGCTGTGTTCTATCGGCCTCATAAATGTATTTTAAATCCGTTTTTAGTCGGTTAATTTTTATTGCCTAAAGAATTCGGTGTTTACGAGTAATGGTACTCATCCTATACAACTGTAAACATCACTCAGTATAAACTTTGACGAATATAATGTGAACAATTTTCAGGTCACTGAAGTACGGCAAAAATTTAAATTACTCTTTATTATCATGGCATACTACGAGGCTTCATCGTCGGGTGCCGACCACAGAAAAAAATGGGACCGAGAAGAGTATGAAAGAAGGGCTCGAGAACGTTTGTTAGCAGAAAATGAGGTTGAAAAGGCAAAAAAGAAACCGAGGTTCCCCGACGAACCAAAAGTCAAAAGAGAATTATTGAAAGCACGTGAATACAAGGTATGATTACCGGAATGTTGCATTTTTCTTCTGGTTCGGTCGATTACTATGAACACTTTTGAGGACGCGGATGCTCACAAAACAAAACTTCTTTTATTTAAGGTAGACTTAGAGTCAAAAGTGGGGAGAACCGTCGTTATAAACAAAACAACTCCTTCTGCCGAAACCGGTGGTTATTACTGCGATGTCTGTGACTGTGTTGTGAAGGATTCTATAAATTTTCTGGATCATATTAATGGCAAAAATCATCAGCGAAATATGGGCATGAGTATGAAGATAAAAAGGAGCACTTTGGATGAGGTGCGGCAGCGGTTTGCGTTAAAAAAGGCAGAAAGTTAGTCATTTTTTGAAAGTTACTTTGAAGGACAAAAAATTTTTTTTTTGTTTTTTCGGCAATAAACTCTCTAGAGTGGTGCGGTTATTAAACAAGACTTCAGAGATTTTTAAATAGTATTTAATACTTTTTTTAGAAGAACAGAAGGAAAAAGAATATGACTTGCAGCAGAGAATGGAGGAATTAAAAGAAGAGGAAGTATGTTCCATATTTGCAAAAAACTGACAGTGTTAAAGCGTTGATGTTCATAGCCTGTTTACTTATTAAAGTGTTCTCGTCTATAACGCTTTTTAATTGTAGGCTCGCATGGCTGATTATAAAAGACAGAAAAGGATAGAACAACGGAAAAGGAAGCGGGCTTCAGATCCTGAGGTGCAAGATGATGAAGTTGCTGCCATGATGGGCTTTGGAGGATTTGGCTCATCAAAGAAATGATCTCATTTTTTAAATTCGTTTTCCACCCTAATATTTCTTTTTCTAACTGCCAGTAGTAGTTGTTTTTAAAGATGTTTCCGGATGGGAGCTTAGAAAGCAACGGATTCAGCTTCTCTTTTTTAACTTTATTTGCGTAACTCGTAATCTGAGTCTCGTCTCATTTTGTTGTGAATTCTGTGTATAAATGTCCTATTGGCTTTTGGTTTTGTACGTTGAACAGTTCTGAGCTGCGCTAAACTTTTTACTTTTTTGCGCTCTATTTGTTGAGGTAAATTTTAGAGATATTCCTCGATATTGCTTACAAAAGTGGTTTTTAATAGGTTGGTTATTGGACAGTTTTTTAAAGAGTAATTCTGATGCGGTGCGCAGTATTAAAAAAAACACTAGGGTTGAGAAGTCAAGGTAGTTAGAGCAGCAGTCATCGTTTACTTTTAGTGGTGAAATATTTCTTTTACGTCTGGCTTTGTACAGATTTTGACCGTACTAGATTAGAACGTGTAGAGTGATTCTTTATTATGGGGTTTACTTCCCTCTGTCCTTATGGATCGTCCGTCTAGTCAAAGAGGTTTACTAAATATTCGTTTCATACTTTTTTTTTAAGGATGCTGGTCTGTCTGTTCTGTGTTTTCTTTTATTTCGGCAGTTTTGCTTATGGACAGAGAAGTATGCCTCTGGAAGAAAAAGTAAATAACTTGCAGGTAATTCCAGTTTGTCAATTTTGTTAGCAATGGCTGCCAAACAATGATATTAATTTGTAGGTTTCAATCCTTGTAGGTTACTTTTGATAAGAATAGTGTAAGTGAGCTTAACTGAAGTGTTTGCTTATAGGAGTGGCTTTATAAAAAGCCTATTATAAATATGAATGTCGAGAAGTGGAAGACATATGTTAGAAGTGCTCCAAGAAACTATTCTGTGATGGTCATGTTTACTGCCCTTTCCGCAAATGTTAAATGTCCTATCTGCAAGTTTGTTTCCTAATAGTTTTTTATCTTTTGAGTGTAAAACTTATTTTTTTGGTTTAAAGGAAGCTTTTTCTTTGTAAAATGTCTCTTTTTTACTGTCAGTAATTAATTAGTCCTTCTGAGGCATGTGTAGGTTTTGAATTTGAGCTTGAGATTAATACGGTTTTTTAGACCTGCTTATCAGGAGTTTCATATATTAGCGAATTCTTACCGGTATGCTTATTCAAATAAAAAAGCGCTTTATTTTGCTGTTGTTGATTACGAAGAGGCACCACAGATATTTCAAATGATGAACCTAAATACAGCTCCGGTTCTTTATCACTTTCCGGCTAAGGGAAACAAAAAAAGAGCAGACCAAATGGATTTTCAAAGGCATGGGTTTGACGCTGAAAGTATGGCCAAATTCGTTCTTGATAGGACAGAAATTTCTGTAGGTTCCACTGCAACATACCATAAACATATTTGGAAAGAATGCATGATTGAATTTGATGATAATCAGTATAGGATTATATTGCCTTTTGTTCAAAAAAGTTGTACAATTTTGACGGAGAAAGAAATTACAGATTCGAGTTCTGCGTCCTCCAAACTACACAGGTCCTGCACTGATGATCTTGTTTGGCATGTTGATAACTGGCATTTTATATATGAGGAGAGACAATCTTGAGTTCTTGTTCAACCGTACAGGATGGGCAGTGGTTTGCTTGTGTATTGTTTTTGCTTTTATGAGCGGTCAAATGTGGAATCACATACGGGGCCCGCCGTTTGTAATGACCAACCCCCACACGCGTGCAACCAGCTTCATACACGGTTCAGCGCAGTACCAGGTCTTCCACATTTGCTCTTTGCTCGAGAGAACTTCAGAGTTATATAAGCTATTGGACCTTTTTTACCTTTTTAGAGATTTTCACTAAATATTTAGTTCTTACTGGAGTCTCTCTTTAATTTAAAGCAAATTTTTGGTTTTTAAAATTTATATTGATTTTTTTCAGTTAGTGGCAGAAACTTATTTTGTAGCAGCACTGTATGCTGCTGTCACTGTAGGTTTTATTCTGATGAATGACTCTGCTGATGGTAAGGGTGATCTTGGGAGAAGGAAAGGTAAACCTATCGCTGTTTTTCTGAACGATACACCGTCTAAAAAATGACTTCTTTACTTCTTTATCAACTAATTTGAAATCTTTAATTTCAGTTATGGTTTTTGTTGGCCTCGGATTCGTAGTCGTGTTCTTCAGCCTCCTTTTATCAGTCTTCCGAAGCAAGTACCATGGGTACCCTTACAGCTTTTTATTTCATTAAATAAATCCACCAGCCTATTGTTGATTTTGTCGAGTGACAGTTTGGAAAAGCTGCCATAAGTTTTTTGTTGAATGCAGCTATTTCTTCTCCATTGTTAGAAACTGAGCTTTGTAAACCATTTCTTCAATTCATCTATTTATTGCACTTGGCTTTGTTCGTGAAAGCGGTTTTGGGAAGGAGATGAAGTTTTACTTGTGTTTAGTAAAACAGCATTTAAAATCAAGGTTTTTATAACAATAATACAACCTCTTTGACATATCTGGCCTCTTATGGAACAATGCAGAAGGAAACCGTATTAAAAAAAACCCATGAGAAGGCTTCTTCACTGTCCAAAATTATTGCTTCCCTCGTTTTCCGTAACATCTAGCTTTTGGTTTGGAGGAGATAGCGCATCTTCCAACATTTTACGTATGCGGGAGTCAGAAACTATGTCTAAAGGACATTCACCATCGTTAGTCGCTATGCTGGGATCAGCTCCAGCCTTGAGTAGTTCTTGTACGGCTTCTCTGTGCCCACAGTCAGTTGCTACAAAACGGTAACACTGCAAAAGCCTCAACGATGTTTACAGAGAGGCATATTTTCCTCCAAGGTAATTCTAACCGTAATGCAGCGGAGTTTGACCAGTGCCATCCAACACATTTACATCGGCTCCTTTCTGAAGTAGATGTCGGATAACGTTTGCTTGCCCTCTGTCAGCAACATAGTGGAGGGCAGTCATCTGTGTGGTTAATACGAGTGATTCTAACTATCGTAGAGATAAAGAATACAGTGAAGGGAAGTGTCCAGTAATTTCGAGTGGAGAAAAAACCTACATCGTTTTCATTTTTCACATTGATATATTTAGGGTTTTTGTCAAGGAAAATGTCTATTTGAGCGCAGTCACCGGTATATAAGATTAGAAACCACTCTTTGGTTTTAGGTGTTATGCGACCTTCCTCTGATTCTTCAGTTGCCTTAAGAAACTTGCTGAAGGGTCAAAGTGTGTTACGTGCTTGGCGCACAATTGTTTTAAAACAGCCATAATCTATAAAACTAGAAAACGGTTTAAATTCATTAAAATATGAGCATAGAATGTAAAAGCACACTAAGCAAAATCTAATTTCTAAAGTGTACAGAAAATAAAAAACATTGTATAACTGCACATACTTCATTGTCCTTCCACAGCGGTATGCTTGGTCGTATTCCAAAGTTGGATGCAGATCGCACTGGACTTTCCTTCCCTGGAGGGCCAAATAATTGACTAGCCTTGATAACGTATTTTTCCATTGCCTCTATTTTCGTCATATTACTGCATGAAACCCAGGCGTCGAATTTAGTGCGTCTCACCAAGTCGAACCTCGATGGTAGGTTGGCTAGATCTGTAATTAATATTGTGCAAATTTGATCAGCTTTTTTGTTTTTATACTGGTCAAAAAATTTTTAGCCAGGATAGGAACAAAAATGAGTTGCTCAGTCTTGAAAATTAAAACCAGTTGCAAACATGTTAAAAATAAATAATATTAGATTTTACTGTAATTCCAACAACACCTGGCTTTCCGACAGTCGCTCGTTTGTATAGTCCGTACAAGTGAGCAGCATCAGATGATGGCAAACTTTCTGCTTTCGCTCTAACTCGACTACATGCCTTTTCAAATTCTCTAACTAGTGGATCATCGTCACTTGACTCAGTCATTCCACTGTCAAATCCACCAGCACTGTTTGCTTTGCCTGCTTCGTCATCCCCTCTCAAATGCCAGTAAATCTTCAGGGCTTGATAGACAATCATGGAACTATCAGGAACAGTCTAAAAATTAGGTATCTCAAAAAAAGTCCCTAACTTACACAATACAAATTACACCAAACGTACGACGGACGACTGACCGGCCGCCTAAAGATAGCGACTCATTCTTCCTTGACTCGATTCTTTCCTGAATGATCTGACAATCAATGACTAAAAGCTCTACTTTAAAACCAAATCTATCATAAAAAGTCAATGAGGAAGCTACAGACTGTCCCCATCTGCGTCAAACTGGTGATAGAAGATTATAACTTTCCCAACAACAGCAATAAAACAATATCATACCACCGTACAAAACCTGTCACAACTTATGCTTCGGGCACCCATAACATCCCACTGTTCTCTTATGCATTCCAAGACCAGCCAACACTCTTCCATGAATAAATAAAACTAGCGTCGAAACAAACTACAAAAACTTTGAGCAAAAACAAGACATATTTCTCCGTCTTCCCCTGCCTCTGCTGTATCACCAATTTTACTTGTAGGTATAATTTCGTTGAGATGCTGAAGAAAAAGTTTTGAGTCTCCATTCGCTTGGCACATATTAAGATAATACAAGAAAGAAACATAAAAAAAGCATAAAGAACCCTAACATCCAGGAAAGTAAAACCTTACTTCAAAACTAAAAAATAACAATATTATGCTTGTGAAATGGCGGTTTATAATCTGTCGCGCTTCGGGGTTCACAAAAATCAACAACCTCATAAACTAAGAACATAAATCATTTTATACAACAAAATTCAGCTGTGAACGAGATAATCAAAAAGTAATTATGACAGCATTTCCATAAAACCAAGTTCAAAGAATGTGTTAGGTGAGTGTTTCGTTACAGCCCCACGTGTTCACTAGTAAATACTCGTTACGCCTTCGAGCGCTTTTGCCACTTTTCCACATCGTATGTGTTTATTGTTAGCGCATGAATGGAAGGTATATAACTGCTTAGAGCGCTTTGGACCGCTCTGAAAATTACAATTTTAGACTTTATTCAAGAAAGTTGTATCAACTTCATATCCGCAAACGTTCCAAGAATTTTCCTTGATAAATGTTTCAAGATAAAAAAAACTCATAAATTAATCTTCAAAAGGCTTGTTCCATACCTGTGATTTGCTAAAGTGGACTTGCCCTTAAATTGTTCAGACACAATCACTATAGAAAACTTTTTACCGCACCCATCTGACTCGTCAACAACTTCCTGCAACCAAAAAAAGGAAAAAAAAAAAACAAATGGTCCTGCAGCTCTAAAAGAAAAAAGCTATTCTCAGCGGCTCCACTGGTCCGAATCTGTTCATCTGTACTCCTAAAGTACAAAGTAAACAAGCCTACACCAATCTCAAGACCAACAACGAACCAAATGACTTGGACTCAACGTCTCTTTTAGTTTTTCGCAAATATCTACATCGGTGACCATCCTAAAAAAAGCGCATAGGCTAACACGCACCCAATCAAAAGACCGTACGAATGATTGGCATTCTGTCACAAATGCCATCTAAAATGACTTGCCGCAGAAATAATATAAAGAAAAACAGCTTATGCTACTGTTCTGAAAAGGAAGTACAGTAAAATAGAATGATTATTCTGAACTTACACACTTACAGAACAACGAGGTTTTATTAACATTCCGTTACAGATACATCACCAAGACCAATAACATTCAGTGAACGAATGGGCTCAAATCAAAAACTGAGCAATCTTCGATATAAAAGGTTACGAAAAAAGGAATCCAAACAGCACAAAAAAAAAAGACAAAAGTCAATGCCCTGTTAACATTGACCTACAAAAAGATCAGGGACCAGGCAAACAGAATTAAGTCAAAAACCACGACGCCAAGGTGGAGTCACCAATATCGGTAATTTAACTACTTTCCAAGCAGACAGTTTGCGACACTAAATAATATTAAGCATTGGTATAAGAAAAAAGTTATGAATTTCCACCCACGCGAAATCGGCTGATGTCAACAGAATTGAATTTATAAAAATCTACAATAAGGCCAATCCAAAAACTGCTTCTCCAAATCGCACCTTCTGAGTGAACAGTGTAAGAAAGTATTAGATAAAAACGAACAACGCACGAATCCAGCAATAGAACAAACAAAAAGAAAAAGGAAACAATAAGGCTTATTCTATAAATAAATTACAATGTAGAATTTTAGAACTCTAAAAAAAAATGATTTTTAAAGATAATTTAAACTAATCTTTGACGCCAAATATATGTGCTTGACGCCTCTTAGTTTCTTCTTCTTCTCGTTCACGAATTTTCTGTAACTCTACTGGATCAGTAGTGCGTGGCTTCAGCTGCAATCTAGGACGACCAGAACCTAAAAAGAAACTATTCTAACTTCTTCCTTTGCGATGGAACAACAACGTGCTTCCCAAAAAAATTCGAAACCGAGTTCTATCATTCATGTGTACTTCAGGCCAAAGAAATGCAAGAATTGGAACTTCAAGTTTATGAAAGTCAGTAAAAAGATTGACAAACTTGGAGGGGCGTGAGCTATTACTTCCTGTTCTGGCAGGGGCCCTCTCCGATGCCCACTACGACTATTAAACTGATTTCTTTGTTGACGATCAAATCCTCCTTTATGGCTCGAGAAGTCACCTCGATTACCGCTATCATCTATTAACCACAATTAAATTAAAAAGTGCTTCTGAAGCAACAATTAACCTGAATTGCGCAACCATATTAAGCGCACCTCTAAACCTTTGCCCTGGCTGTCCTCCACCTCGTCCACCTCTTCCGCCACCTCTCCCACGTTGAGAGTCCGCTACGTCTATACGCAGAGGGCGGCCACAGTAGTCCTATAAGAACAATTCGTTTATTTTAAAAAAAAAAAAATCATTGTTCATTCAGCAGTATCTAACTACAATCAATTCATCTGTGAGAAGCTTACAAGCCCGTCCAATTTTAAAGCTTCTGCTAGGTCATTTTTGCTATTGAATTCGACGTATGCATATCCCTTAAAGCGATCTGAATCTCGATCGCGCACCATATGAGTATCCATAATCTAAACAACACGAAATAGAGACGTTTGAATCACCAGAGCCTTCTATTAATAAGATCAGTCCACAGCACTCTACTACTAAACAAAAATACCAAAGCACAAGGTAGTTTTCCCCAACCTTGCACTTTTGAGAAATATCAAGTGAGGGGATTGACAAATTTGCTTCTCAAAAGTTTTAGCAAGCAAAAATAAACTTCTGGAACTTCACTGGAACAGACGCAGCTAAGGACTCTCCCTTTTAAAAAAAGCAAGAGAAACAGTAGAGAAACAAACTTTGAGTTCTTTAAATATATCATCGATGTCACCCTGCACAGAATCTGACGGAAGATTTCCGACAAACGCCTTGTAAGGACCTTCTTCTGGTATTGGCTTGCGAGGACGCCTTTAAAAAATTACTAAACCATAAGGGAGCAAAAAAATATAATTACTGCAAGCTCCTAGGTAATAAAATTCTAAAAGTCTCTAACAACTTCCTGATTCACTTCATTTTCTAAATGCTATCAAGCAAAATTTTGTAAGTCAGTTTTATTACACAGTTCTCCTAGCACACCAAAAGCTATAATTTTCATTATTTCTCATTGTTTTTCTTTTTTTTTCAAACCGTGACCCTCTTACAGTGCACATTCAAAAATCAGCAATGATTAAGATGTTAATGTCCAAGTAACAAAAAAGCTCGTGTCAAGTGAAAAATTAAACAAAATGAAAAGAGGAGTAGAAAAGTAGAAAAACTCTAGCTCACCGATTAGCCATAGCCTGTATTTCAAAAGGTAACAGCTTTAGTACGGTGGAAAATCTACAATTCAGAAGTAGTAAATAATGGATAAAACTCATCTTACTTAAAACCGTCCCTATCTTATATCGCAAGAGAAGTATACAAAACTAATATCTTGAAAGAGAATTAAAAAATATATGAGAAGCAAAAAACAAACAAAATATGTAACCAAAAGACAAATAACGAAATAAACTCAACAAAAACAAAAACACATGACAAAACACAGAAAAAAAACAAAAAGTGAAAACCTTTTGTAGTCTACCAATTCGGTCACTTTTCTGAAAGGTAAAAGTATGAATTAAATAAAGTTGGCGGTCTTCCAACATCAAAAGCAATCGTTTCATTTCTCAGTATTTGTATGCACTGCCCCGCAACAGGACAAACTGAGCAAGCTGACAGCACTATAACCCTAAATTCTTCATGGGAATACAACAAATACAAACAACTGTATCGAATAAAAAAAGGAAATAAATGGACAAAAAATGAAGAGTTAAGCAGGTAAATAAATAAATCACTAAATAAATAAAAGGATGAATAAATATAAATGTAAATATAAATATAGATATAAATGTAAATATGAATATGAATATGAATATGAATATGAATAATGAATATAAATACAAATATAAATATAAATATAAATATAAATA